TTTATAAGGTCCCGCCTAACTCTGAAGTCTAATAATACAGCAGTGGTGGTGAGGGGTGGTGAGCAGGTTTGTTTGATCTCTCCTATTTTCATGCCACTCACCCTACAATTAACCCATTTCCTATATGGGTATTGTCTATTAAAGCTCTTCTGCTATACAAAGTTGTATTAAAGTCTCTGCAGTTCTCTCCACCTGTCTGTCTCTCTACCTCTGGGCTTCATCAAGAGACAGAGCTTCTGGAAAAACACCTCTGTGTTAGATCGACCTCCATCTCTTCTCTGAAGATGTCCTCCCCCATTTGTGTTCTCACTTACATTTCCAATAGATACACTCAGATTATCAAAGGCTGGTGCTTAACACTACCTACAAAGACAAAGTAAATGCAAAGAAAGTAAACTAAGAAAGGTAAACAGACTTTTACTGAGCCCAGTGAAATAAATTTCAGGTTTTCATGCAGGAGCCCAAGGGGAAAAAGGAGATATAGGATTACCACCTTGGGCCAATGGTCTGAGATAGGGGATGACATCAGCAACACAGAATCTGTTCTGACACTCTCCAGTCCTAGTAACCTTGCTCCCTTCCTGAGTTTCCTTGTCTTTCTAATGGTGGCATCTGCAAACACTTCCAATTTCTCTGCTTCACGTAGCTTTTCATAGTTTCCTCTTCTCCAGCTCCATGTTGCTCATCAGGAGCCTGAGTTTCATTTTGAGTCTGAATTTTTCATGGACTGATTAAATTGACTTTTAAAAGTCACCCAGGAGTCGTAGCCAATCAGGATTCCTCCTGTGGAGTACTTTGAGAAGGTAGAAGTAGTATTGAAGGATAGGTAAGTAGAATGGATAGAGAAAACCTTTCAAAAGAGGTGGGGCTGGTGAGAGAGACCTTTGCATGAGCAAAAGTGAGGAGGAGGATGAGTTCTGTTGATATGTAAGATATCTGACTGCAGTGGAGGGTGTGTGTGGGGGAGTGAGGAGTAGAGAATTAGGCTATATGCAATAGGTAAGGGCCATATTTGGGACAGCCTTGAAAACCAGCCTGGGAAACATAGACTTGACATCCTAGGCAATGAAGAACAATTAGAATATTCTGACCAGGGGAATGACCTGAGAAAGTCCATGTTTTAAGAAGTTTAATTTGTCAACAATGTGCAGGATGGAGTAGGGAGAGACTGGAGTGAGAGAGACAGGCTAGGAGACATAAGTATAAGATTCTGCGTCATGGTAATGGGTGAAAAGAGAGAGGAAGAGGGAAAATATTGAAATCTTCTTTAGTCATCTTTGCCTCAGAAAAGTCTCATCTTTCCCTGAGAATCAGGATCATTCCAATTCAGGCCTCCTTCTCAGTTATCTCACTAAAGGTCCTCTGGCACTTTTTTTCCATTGGTTTAAAAAAAAAAGGGTAAATCACTTGGTGCTGGGCAAGAATCCAGTTTGAGTCCATTGCAAAGTCATTTAACCTCTGTCTGCCTCAGTTTCCTCATGTATAAAATAGGGATAATAATAGCATTTAACTTTTCAGTGTTTTGCAACACTCAAATGAGATAATACTTGTAAAGCATAGTATATTGCTTTGCACATAATAGGTATTATATAAATGCTAGTTATTCTTATTATTTATGCTTTTCTCAACAATGAGGCCAAATGTCTTCTTAATCTCTGCTTAGTGGCTTACTAGGAGCTCACCCATCCCATGTGCTATATCCCTGCCCACAGATGGTGGTGTTCTTCACAGCTGGTGAGCCTCTCCCCAGGGACTCTGCTAGGTGAGTTAGGTGAGCAGGAAAATTAGTCCATCAGAAGAAATGGCTTTTGTGAGTACTGTCATTTCAGAAGAAATTTAAGGCCTTTAAACAGAAAACATCTGCTGCTACCCTGTCTACCCTACTAGTATAGGGTACATAGTTGGGTCTGTGACCAATTGACTCCCCACCCCCTCTTTGATACAGTTGATATAATTGCAGAAATAAAGAAGCAGATACCAAAGGTAATGACTCATTGGTATGTTAAAGGATATGTCAACACCCTATTAACCCTTTATGAAATGTGAAAAAAAGTTTCTCTTTGATAAGGGTAGCTGAAATCAATATCCTGTCATAGCTTTAGGAAATATGGAGTTTTCCTTGATTGGATTGGAAAAAGCAAGGAATGACAGGAAGAGGATTTCTCACATCCTGGGTGGCCCTTAAAAAGCTGTGTTCTCTAACTGGGGGGGATGTGTCAAGAAAAGAGCGGTTTTGTGATAGAATATGACCCCTGTGTCCATACCAGAGATTAGGGGTATGGGGAGAAGAGAAGGTGATTTTCTCTTCTCCATCTATGCTCATCAGTTGTGATTCTCTGAAGGAGAGCTGCTCAACCAAAAAAAGAAACAATCCATTTGGGAACAGACACACTCTAGAGAGACACGGACATACAGAAGCAGACTCAAAGAGGGCAGCAACTTCTAGAACTGTGACCCTCGTCAGCAGAGAACAGAACAATGTATTCCAGGGAGAACTGGCCCTGGTGAATTCTTTTGACATCCTAGGCATCCTAGACTTCAAAAGAATCAAGTTAAGAGCAATGGAATCCCAGCTAAGCAATCTGCCCAGCAGACACACAGTGCCCAGTCGGGGAGCTACATGAAGACTCCATAAGGAAAGAAGGAACAACAGTATTTTGCAGGACTAGACACCTGAGCTGCTTTGACCACATGAATTCCCCATTTTTGTCCCTCATTACCACTGTAATCTAAGTTTGTACCCACTCTTCCTATAGATACTGTAAGTATTTGTGGGAAGGTATACTGCAGGTTTATGACAGGCATGTTTAAAAAAAAATTTTTTTTTACTATGCATAAATGCCTTTGCTATGAGTTAATTGTTCCCATTGATTGAATATTAAGGGGGAGGACACTGATGGGGACTCGTGCCACAGTTTAAGGAGGGTAGATATGTACCATATATCCCTAGATCATGAGAGTAGCAGTATATCTAGGGATCCAACTCAAAAGTGCTTTTGAAAATTAAGAGAGTAGCTTAGAGGAGGTCCAGACTAGCATGTGACTGTGGATCAAAAAACCTAGGCTCCAGTTCTTACCCTAACCACCCAGATAACTTCCAAAAATGATTTCCCCCTCTTTTTGAGCCTCAGATTCCTCAACGTTAAATGAGAGGGTTGGTCTAGATGACATCTAAGAGCGCTTCTAATTTTGAGATTCTGTGGCTCTGTGATTTTTGTATTTACCAGATAGTGAAGAGGGAAATGGGCTTCTATTGTTAAACTGGACAACATTCCATTGGTTGGAGACTTAGAGGAAAACTGTAAGTTTTATACTTTCACAAAGGAGGATGAAACTGACTGCTTTATAGTTCCACACTTCCAGGCAGGCAGAGCAGAGATAAGCACAGACACCATGTAATTGGAGGAAGCCCAAGGGGGCCCTCATCCCCAAAACATCAATTCCCTGAAGGTCATCCACATTTATTACTTCAGGTCTTAGAAAACCTTTCCATATTTAAAAGTCCCCTTTTAAAATACAAACACTCCTAGGAGGCTGCCTGACAAGACAGTTGGATGAGCAGACAATGGGATTCAGGTAAAAGTCCTCTGGGAGAGGCAAAGGACATTACCAGTGGAAAGAAGACACTTATCTGAAAATCAAAAATCAATGGATGCCAAAAACAAGCTTTTTCAACTTCAAAATTTTGTTCATACCTCTGGAAACCCTCTGATGGTTTCCAACACTATAGGAATTTGCCTGGGATTTCCAAAGGCCAATCCGAACATGAATGTCTCTTCCCAATTTCAAGGCAAGGTTAGATAGTACTCTTTCAGGATGCTCCCAGTTACAAGAGGGGGGATGGTGGGGCAGGGTAATTGGGGAGGGGGAGGAATTTAGGACCAGCCATGAAGAAGAAAAAATGAGAGCGGAAAGTGGAAAGTGCAGTATCGATTCTGTGAGTAGAGTCAGGTTAACCTGGAAAATTGCTAAGGCACAAATAGGATGAAAGATCTCCTGGTCACAAAGCTGCTCCATGGTCATAGACTGCCAGAACTGGAAGGAAGAGGAATCCTCAAAAGGGGACCAGATTAACTCAAAATCACCGAGGAAAAAGATACCTGACTGGGATTAGAATTTAGGCCTCCTTAATCTCACTTCAGCAGGTTTTCAACTACTCTGTACTGTCTCAAAATAATTTAGGCATATGGGATTAAATCCAAGGTCTAATTTCATGACTGAATGACAGCATCAAATGAGGAGTGGTAGAACTAACATCTAATTCTTGAACTAAGTAGTGGTAGAACTAACTTCTAAATCTAAAATCTTGAGTTTTAAGAATTTATCTTTAGGGCCCTCAGACTTCCAATTCTGTCTTTTTATTTCCTTGATGGGGCCTTTTTTTTCATCCCAGAAAACTGCTCTTAAGATAGGGTCTGAAACACATTTACATTAGAATATAAATGGCTGACAATGGTTAAAAGAGGGAACCTTTATTTTTAACAAGAATCACATTTTTTTTAGCTAAAGGAATTCAGCTCTAAATAGTGAAATTTCAAGCAGCAGAGTGTATTGATCTGCATCCTCAGAGAAAGAAAGACTTGGTCTCAAGTCCTATCTCATACACTGGCTAGATGACTCTGGACAAATCACTTAACCTCTCAGTATCTCTATGAAACTTTCTAAAACTATATTTGCTAACCTGTACTGGTAGAGAGATTTTCCTCACTGGGAACTCCCCATATCAATGATATCACAAATCTGGACCACAAAACAAGAGAAAAAACTCCTCTAAGTATATATTGTTTCCTCCATTAAAAATAGAAGCTTTTGGAAGGCACACTCAGTTTCCATTCATCTTTGCATTCTCAGGCCTAGAATATAATAGGGGTTGAATAAATGCTGTTTATCCATCAACTTCTCTCCCAAGAAAAGATCCTGGTTTTCTGTTTTCTCCCTTTTTTTCTTCTCAAAGGTTAGAACTGAGCCTGAAGGCTATGACCCAGGGCCTTTGGTCTGACCCACTGTGGTAAATACAGTACAGCAGAAAAATAGGGATTCCACCAATGACCAGTCCTTGGAGCTGATGAGCCAATCATGCTTCACTTCATCCTGTATCATCTTTGTGGTCACTGTCATGAAATTCGTCTTTCTCTCTTCTTCTGATCCTATAAAGGAAATGGAACAAGTGAGATGGAACAGTCAACTCATGACCTCCGCTAGTCACAGAGGCAGAATTATTTTCCCAGAGAGTTTTTCCTTCTCCTTAGGACAGTTAAATGTCTGTTTCCTAGATACTGGACTGGCAAATGTACAGTAATAGCTATTAACACCACCAGAATGGAGGTTTGCAGCCTCCATGTTCCACTTGGCGGAGACTCAAACTTTACTGACCGCACAATGACTATATATTGCAGTTCCCCAAGGCCCTGAGAAAATGGTAATACAGTTTGTATTGTTCTTGCCTCTTGGATTGCCCCAGGAATTAAATGTCAAGAGCACTGGCCAGAATCAGGAGATCAAATTCTAATCCCTGCCCTGCCACCACTCTATTGCTGTGTGACCTTAGGGAAACCAATTTCTCTGAACCATAGTTTCTCCATCCCTCAATAGGGTTGTGAGGATCAAAAAAATCTGTGAAAAGTGAAATGCAAGTCCCCTGCATTTCTACAAATGAAGGAGGGAGATAGTATTCACATAGATAGATAGATAGATAGATAGATAGATAGATAGATAGATAGATAGATAGATA